GCTTTTCTTCAGATCATAACGGCCAGAAACATTGATTACTGTATCAACGTCGTGATATTTAGATGCATAAAGGAGTACAATATTTTCCTCCTGCAATGTCATTACTCAGGATTAGGTCATCCTGAAGAGGGAAAAGAATATACAGAAAATCGGCTGGTCAATGAAGCTTCTTTGCCCCTTTTATCTGCCTTTCTCCCCAATAGAAAGTAAAAAAAGCAAAAAGAAGAGACACATCAAAATATTAAAAATTTCCTTTTTGTGTTGTGTTTTGGTATTTACCCGCCAATTGGAATGATAGTTAGAATTTACATATACCTCTTAAATATTCTAGTAGGGATATCAAGTGGGCTTGCTGGCTCGCCTAGCTTATCCCAAAGGCGAGTCATGGGACGAGCCGAGAAGGGTTTTGCTTGTGCGACCCATTTGCTGGCTCCCATCGACTCATCCGAAAGGGCTGAAACAAAAAACAAGATAAAAAATTCAATTTTTAATGGAAAATTAAAAAAAAATGATTGAGTCACAAGCAGGTTTGGCTCACCCCACCTAGAGACGAGTTGAAGGGGTGAGACGAGCCGAATTTTCTTCAAGTGAGCATGCTTGTACTTGGCTTGCCCCAACGCAAGCATGGGCTGGCTCAGACCATTAACATCACTATTTTCTAAGACTAGACAAAAAAGGTGGAAATAAGATGAGGAAATTTGGTAATTGTATCATTACTGAAAACTATTTCATCATTTACTATGTTACGTTTATAAAACCAAAAATACTAGATTAAATGTAAAATAATCTTGAATCTACCTACTTCTTAAAATATATAATATTTCCAAATATATCTCAGCCATTATTTGAAACTGACTTTTTTTTTTTAATTCCTCAATTTCACGTTTCACCATAAATGCATTACCTAAGTTATAGAAGAAATACAAAAAACTAAAGTAGGTAGCGAGAATCAATTTCACTTGTTGAATAATCAAATTGTTACCCAATTCTTTTGCAATCCACAGGCGTAGAAAGCCTTTTTTGAAATCCTGCATCTGAGAAAAACTCGGCAATTTTTGGCATCTTTCTACGTATTACATTTGATACAATTTGTGGTGGAACTTTTTGTTGAGAAAAATGTAGGAAAATCTGAAAATTTAATGAACTCTAATGCACGAAAAAAAAGTTATCTTTTAAGAGATGTTTTT